CCTTGACCATTCAGTTTGCTCAACAAGCAGCAGAGAGGTGCAATTACTTTAATCCAGCATGGTTCACAGCTACTGCAGGAACATTGTTTGAGACAAAGAAAGGCTTACTTTGGGGGCGAGGTGTGCTTTCCTGTTCGGAACAGGCAGGGTGCTGTACGGGTATTGTGAGTTGTTGGGGTTGATACTGTATGACAGGGAACTCTCACCAGTTCTGCTGTTTCTTCCTTTCACATTGCTCCAGTGCTGGCCAAGAGTTACCTTAGGTTTCAAAGATTAGGAATGATGTGATATATATTTATTTTTTCCACGTTCCATTCTCTTTTAATCTGAGTTGTTTTTGATAACCTGGAATAAAGCAGGCTCTTGACTTTTGATTCTTTGTTATTCCGATGTGCGCGCTAGACCTTTGATTGCCATGGTTACCGGTAGCTGCAGGCAGGCCCTGCTCTCCCTCCGGCTGTTGGGTTGTTTGTGAGGAATAAGCCAGGCTGACAGGGGGAATGAAAAGGCTGAGCATGAAGAAGCAGCAGGGTTCAAACTAAAGCACACGGGGACAAGAGACAATTCAGTACGGAAACTCAGAAATCAAATCTGCAGCACTGGGGTATACAGTTTGAGCAAGAGGGCTGATACAGTTTTACATTTTGAGTATACCAAATATTTACCAGCACCATCTAACCTAATAGCATAATTTTGAGGCTGAGGATTATATTTGGTATATTTTTTTAACTGTAACTGTTGCACATTAACACCTTCTTGGGATTACAACAAAACACAACTTTTCACTGATTTTTTTTGCCCGTAAGATTTGCAAAGGATCAACGCCTCGAAGCTGACACAGAGCAGCTGCACGACATTCCCATTACCGGAACAATGTTTAATTTTGTGAAAAGAAGACAAATGATTCACAAGAGTAAATGATCTCTTAGGGCTCTGAACACGCCTGAGCTGACTTCGTTTCAGGATAGGGGCTCTCAGAATGTCATTCCTCTGCCGTGTTGCAGTTTTCTTAATCCACTTTAGAAAAACAATTTTCTGATGTGACAGAAACTGTCGTACTTGTAATGTTGAAATGTTAAGCACTTTACATAACCTAGGCAAAACTTCTAATTCTACCATTAGTGCTGATGATTATTTTTTTATTATTTTTTTTAATTTTCTGATGTTTGTCTCACAGCCCAGAACATAGATCAGATTCAGTTCCTCATCTCAAGTGGAACATGAGCTTCTCCACAGATGTTCTAAGGTTTTTTCACATTCTCCTTGTGACTTGAGCCAGAGAGCATAGTGAGGGTCTTCATCGTTGTCGAGTTAACTTTTTAGAAAGCAAACAAGTAACACTTGACATTAATGAGCCACTATACTATATATTGCTATAGACAGTCTATGAATATGGCATTAACTATACACTTATGTAACCTTCTTATGTAAACCTTCTGCAGAAAAGCCATAGTTAGGGTTAGGGTTACGTGTGTGGATCAGGCTGTGGTCAGGATTAGTGGTGAGTTACTAGCATGTAGTTGGTCTTTTGTGTATTTTTTGTCCTACAATTGACAGTTTGTTAATATGTTCCATTTATAAAATTTTCATTAATCTGTCTTCTGCAACCTCTAATCCAAAGGGTTGCTTTTTATTATGCCTGCTAACATACTGTACTACGAAAGGTAAACGAAGCACTTTCAGAATGAGAAGAACACACTCAAATAAATAAAATTTTGTAACAAGCTACTCAGCTGGTACAGAGTCTGATAATAAAGATTATTATGAGGTGCCTTATTTCTGAGAAATGCCTCCAGACAGTGCAGCACAACAGTTCACTGCAATAGCCAGGCACACTGTTTGGATACCTTTCTCCAGGTGTGCCTGTAGTTCTGATGTATCGGGACGAGTCACGACAAGTTGGAAGGTTTTGCAACTCTATTACAGCCAGTCAGCAGCTGGGAACTGAGGTCTTGTTCTGCACACAGCAGATAAGATCGCTCTGGTGCAGCTTTAGAGCCAGGCTGAGTGTGTGACTCTGGAAGCGTAGGTCTGCACAAGAGATCCAAAATCTCCAAACTCGAGGAAATCCTGGAAAATTACTGAATATCCTCTTTGTATAGTATACCTACTGCATGCCAACAGCACATTTCGGCAAATATACAAAGCGTCTGCGAGAAATTCTTTATGTTGTTGCTTATTTTCATTGTACTAATACCATGCAAAGAAAATGTTAAATAGGTGAAACTACAAAACTACATATGATGGACTGGGCACATGAGTTTGCCTGGGACGTTCTGAATCTGACCTCAGATCTGCAGGGCATGACACTAATGACCAACAGAGACGAAGGGCTCTGCCCTGCAAGCTTATTAGACACAGTGTTGGATCGTCCGTGAATTTCAGGTCAGATCACATTTTTTCCTGACTGATTGAAAGCGGAATGAGCTTCTGCATGTCAGGGCTGATTTATGTGAATAATGATGAGGACGCCAGCAGAGTTCCTGGGCTGGACCTGTTTCTGTGAGTCAGAGCAACTGAGTGATAAGTGGGGGATTACACATGACAGCCACTGACAGTGAAAAGAAACAGCCGCATTTGGTCCAGTAAAGCAGAAGAGCCTGGGTTACCCTCCATATTTTCTGATGCTAGCTTTGCTAAAGTGAAATGTTTTGGTTTCTGCCAGCCTCATACTGCAAACACTGGGATGCAGTTCCTCTGATTGGATGACATAAAAGCCAATGTTCTGTTCATGAGCCCCAGTGACAGAGACTAAAGTTGACTTGTGTGTTGCTGTGCCTTCCTGGATGTTTTTTGTGTTGTGTGCAGAGACAGTAATATGAAACAGGACAAGGCAGAGGGAAAATGAATTAATAATTATGGACTTGAACATTTACTGTATACACTGAGCACTTGGATCAAATGGATTCAAGGATGTTATCTTTAGTGTGTATCTTTGCCGGAGAGGAAACCCAACCGTGAAAACATGATTAAAAACAGGACACTCGCTGTGATAAGACACAGCAAGTATTTCAGCAAAAACTGCACCTCTAAAAACATTACTGCCTACATCGTGTCTAACTGAACATTTTCAGTCTGGGATTGTAAACCTCTTGAGCTGGGATCCTACTCTGTGTATCTGTGTAACATGACAGGACGTCAAAGATCTGATGTGCTGGTAAATCTCTACCGTGTCTGGTTAGATCCAGGCTTCACACTTTTTCATTAATTTCTTAGAGGTTTGTTGTGTGTGGACTGCTCTCGGCTGCCATTACATCAGCCATGAAATAGTTCGACATCCTGAAGTATAAAACACATTTCACACATCTTCCTCGTTCCTGCTGATGGACGTGTGGACGAGAAATAGGACCTCCTCTTGATGGAAAATTTTAAACCTCTGTATGTTCCCAACCCAAACAGAAAAAACAGATACTGATAAAACCTCCTGATACGGCTGCATTACGTATTTCCTGCCGTCACATGTTTAACCTTTTGCAAAACTTCATATTACGGTGCAGTTTATAAAGGTTGTATCAATGTTTTACACGTACCTAATGGATGCTAAGTAAATGTATATCAATAAATAGCAAACAGTACAGGTTAGAAAAGCCTAGTTATTAAGGTAACATTATTCTGTCAATATTGTACGTTTTAGTAATAATTGGAAAGTACTGCTAATTTTCAATGACTCGCCTGTAGTGCTTTACTAACCCACCTGTAGTCCTTCAACTGCTGCTGCAGAGACTCCTTCAGCAGGACCCCAGAGGACAGAGCACAGGGGCTGTTGACTCCACACAGGAGGTGCAAGTGGAAAAGCTGGTGCAGCTGGGGCTTGACTCAGCACTTTCCTGGCAACCAGCCCCATCTGATAACCACTGTACCACCCAGTCCCACCTTTCTTTTATCAGAGGTGATAAAAAGTGCCAACGGGCTCTATCAACCTTTGTAACTCCAAGCAGGACTGAGGACTGAATTATTAACACTTTTCCCTCTTCAGAGTTTTCCCCACCTGGTGTCCACCCAAGGCAGCCAATCAGCACGAGACTCTGCCCGAGGCAGCCAATCAGCATGGAGCTCTGCCCGAGGCAGCCAATCAGCATGGAGCTCTGCCTGAGGCAGCCAGTCAGCAGTTAGTTCCTTAATGTGTTAGAATGAGTTAGACTCCCATCAGTTAGGCCAAGAACATTTGGAGAACTCAGAGCCTGTCAGTCACAAAAGAGGAGGAGAACATAAATCCTGCTTTTCCTAGACATCCCCATCCTCCCTGTTCCACAGAATTCTATTACATTTTAATCTAGCAATAGGCAGATATCTGGGGGACCATGCAGCTCGATTGAGATTGCTTATCATTCAGTTACAAAGGAGATTGTTATTGATATTTCCAGCACTGTAAAAAAATGAGTTTCTGAAGGATTCAATATAATTGCCTGCTCAATACTGCAAAATCAAATAAAAAAAACCTTTGCAGTTTTGGACAGTGCATCTGTCTGGGACAGAAGGGGATGATGCTGTGGTTGGAAATCTTTTCTCAGCCATTTACACTCTATGTATAGTAGTATGTGACTGTTTTAGAATGAGTAGACTCTTAACAAAGGCTAAAGATGAGACATTGAACTGAGGTCCTGACTACTTGTCCATAAGAGTAGGAGTATTGACTCCTGGATACATTCCTCCCTGGGGCTGTACAGTCAGGATGTCATGCTTTGCTGTGAAAGGGTGCTGCTGGCTCAGAATGTCTGCTAAGCATCACCCAGGAGGTAGGAGGTAGATGAAGTGGATCTCCTCCTGTATCTTTTGGATTCTTTTGGATGAAAAGAGCTACACAAATACAAAAGTTCAAGCACATACTTTAACTGTCTGTTTTAGTTTTCTACATATCTTTACCATTGTCCTTTTTTTAAATATTTTTATCAATGTATTTTGTTTTCTTCATTGTGCACGTGTGAACACCAGCCACGTAATCTTCTTTTTTTTTGTTTTTATCGACTCAGAAAAGTATTTACCTCTTATCTTTCTCATAGAGACAGGAGTCACGTGCACATGTGAAATGTGCTGAGTCTCCCGTTTGCGAACTGAACCCCTGCAGAACTGCTTTGGACTCTGGTGTGCCTCTGTTCTGCCTCTCCATGAGCCAGCTGGAAGCAATGGGAGAAGCCGAAGCCATCCCAAATGATCTGTGCTCCACTTGTGGCCAGCGGCACCTTCCAGAGGAAAACCACGAATACAGCTACCAAGATGAAGTGGACGATGACCTCATCTGCCACATCTGCTTGCAGCCCTTGATTCAGCCAATAGACACCCCATGTGGTCACACCTACTGCACAGAATGCCTTACAAACTTCCTCCTGGAGAAGGACTTCTGTCCTGTGGATAGGGAACCCCTCATGCTGCAAACCTGCAAGAAGTCCAGCATCTTGGTTAACAAACTGCTGGACAAGCTGCTAGTTCACTGTCCCCTGACTGAACACTGCATGGAGACTGTACAGAGATGTGACCTTGAAGCGCACTTGAAGAACAGGTTAGACTACAGATTTCTACTCTGGTTCTTGCATTTCTTATGGGTTAACCTGATAGATACCGTGATGATAATCCAGATTGTATCGCCGTCTCCCAGGGTATATTCCCATGACTTTGGTGTAGTTCCAGAGGCTCAGGAGGCCTCCTTTCAGTCTCACAAGCATTGCTTCAATGCTGAAAGCTTATCTCTAAACCTGCTCCTCCTACTGAATGCGGGAATTACTGAGTCCATCTTCTGTCCCTCAGGGCTGTCAGGGAGATGCGATTCATATTTTCCAGGGACTTGGAATCACCCTTTGAAATTTATTTAAATTCTATTTTCAACATTATGCTTTCCCTGCGTGATCCCCTGTGGACAGCTAGCAATTAACTGTAAGATGTGATTTAATCAGATTCAGCTTTCATCTGAACTAATTCTAATCTAAATATTTATTCTTCATTGTTTTGAAGTCAATAGCTTTGAAATGTGTTTCATTTGTCTGACATTTTGAATCATTAATACAAATAGCCCAAAGGACTGCAGTGGTAATTACCCAGCAAGCCAAATAAAATCCTTAATTTAAATTCTAGATTAATAATCACATTCACCCTCTGTTCCATACTTCTGAAAATAATATGCAGCTCACAGTCTCTGGATCTCCTGACTCTCCTCCTCATCACCTGCATCAGGAGTTCTCTTTTCACTGTTTTCTTTTAATTAACTTGCAGGCAAAATGAAATTATGTCTTTATCAATAATTGAGAGTTTTTTTGTTCTTAAATTTAACAAGGTAATGATCTGAATAACAAAAGCTGTTCTACTTAAGCTGACTGGAGATCACAATGTCACAAGTGCCCAGGCTTCCAGCACTACCTCTGTGAAAAGTTGCTCCTAATTAGTGTTCTTACTTTGGAGCTTAAGGGTTTGTTAAGCCTGAAGTCAATTTCAGGAAGATGAAGATTCAGAGTTAAGTAAAATGGTTATCCACGTATGCAGCACTGTACCTTTTAAACACCACGTTCGTGCACATCAGCGTCACCCCTGGCCTTTCCATGGCAATGTCCCTGAACTGCAGCTGTAATACCGGCTGTCCCGATCACACGTGCTGTCCTCTGACGAAAGAGACAAGTCAGTCTGTGATTGGACATGCACTTATTACTCTCTCCCTCTGGTCACACAACACTCATCAGCTCACTTCAGAGTAGAGATGTGCTCTACGACGAGCCCCTCGCCAGGCAGAGAATGGGATACCTCGACCTCCAGCCTGCAGGGCAGACACGTCACTTCTGCTGAAAAGGAAGGTCCCAATTAGTGGGATTGAAGACAGTGTCATTGAGCACAGGCTGACCAGTTACAGCCTTCATAGCTTCTGCTCTGAACAGTGACAAATTACTTCCTACCACAGACAGCTAAATCATAGCTCAGCTCTTCACCTCCCTGACACTCAGACACTAAACTTTCAACTTATCTGAACTCTTCCTGAAGCAAAGCCTCAGCACTAGCGTAATGCCTGGTGCCTTAAATTGCAGTCCTGGCATCTTATCATATCAATGAATAGAAAGAATGAAACGCCTGTGACATATGATTTCTGTAACATTCTGTTATTGATAATACCTAATTCCCTACATTACTTTAATGGTTTTTATGACATTTTATGACAGCAATAAATATCTAAGAAGATTGCTTTACCACAGCAGTTTTTAAAGTTTGTATGTACAGTAGGTGACAGATATAGGCACAGTGGTTCACTCTGGGGTAAATCAACAGGGGAGTGAGGCAGTAGAGTGGCTCAGTCTGGGTTAAATAAGCAGGAGAGTGGGGCAGTAGAGGGGCTCTGGTGTCCTGTGCAGAGGCGTGTGTGCTCACATCCCTGGCTACAGCTGTTGTTCCCTAGATCAACATACCCCAACCTCATAGCTCCCACAGGGTGAACTGTGACTGTTATCACCATTATCATTTTATGAGGGAGAAATACATGATTATAACTCTTTGTAAGCTTCTTTGCATAAAAACATTAGTCCTTGCACTTGTGAGACTAGACCAGTTTTCTGTTGTCTTTATTCTGTCATATCTCCTTCAGACCTTATTGAGCTTAATATTGACCTGGCAATAACCTGCCATAATTTTCAAGAGTTTTTCTATTGATGAATTTTAGATTTCAGTGGCTCAGTCCCTCAGTATCTCCAGACAAGAGAAAAAGCAGGCTAAATATCTATAACATCCAGATATCGGGGAGTGTACTTTATACACACGGCATAAAAAGCACTGCAAACAGCTGCAGGAACTACTGCAAAGACGCTAATGTTCCCACTTACTGAGTTGCTCCACATTTGTTCATTAAGATTGTGCCCAATATTCAGTACTATCTATTCAGCAACAACGATGAGCTCACACATAGCAGGCACCCTGAAAATCCTTCCTGTGAACAGATGCGAGGGTGCAAAGTGCTAACTCCATCATCACTGTGAGAATGAACCGATCGCCCCAAGACAGCCTTGTAGAACAACGTCATTATGGAAAACCATCAGATTGAAACCTTTTGTAACGGTGTTGATATGCACAGTGACTCACCAGGAGAAAAGTGAAAAACAGAGCCGCTGTGGCGGGGGTGATGTCAATGGCAGTTTAATCAACACATTAACATCTCAACTCAAAAAGCAAACATTTGCTGATGGAAGAATTAAGTACTGTTTCACATTTCAGAAAATGTTTCTGCATAGATTTAACCAGGCGAGGGAAGAAAATGCTGAAAGCTAGACAGGAAGAGCTACAATCGAGAGTCCACTCGGCCCATGTAGCTTATCTGGCGGTTAATTGATAATTGACCCCTGGATCTATCTGTTTCTTGAAACAAAATATGGGCATTGACATTTGAAGATGGTCTGTGAAACTTAGGAATAAGAATCGAGTCATTTAATTGAATCTCTGAATGATAGCAAGAGCTCTGTGGTATAAAGAACTCAAGAGATACTCCCCTGAATGTAGATTTTCCTAGATTTCCAGGAACAAATGAAGATGGCGTTGCCTGAGTTTAGCCTGTATTGTACAGATGCAAACATGTTTTGTAAATACGACATCTTTGTGTTCTTTTAAGAAATCAAAGATAATTTTGTCTGAATGAATAGATGAGACCCCTGTGCAAGTTTGAAATACTTCGAGAGCTCATGCCAGCCGCACGGCTGCGGACCTGTGAGTTTGGTCTGGAAGAGGGCGGAGTTGTCTTTAAATGGAATTACAACAGTGGCATTATTCACTACTGGTTCCAGAGTTTCAAGACTTTCACTGTGAACGTGACAGTCTGAATTCACGAGAGCCGTCCACTCAGGCACGGTGCTGAGCTGCTGTTTGTGAGCGAACGGGCAGACAGCTTTTTCAGGTTTGCCTTCGAGAAGGGGAGCCTCCTCTGTTCTTCGGGGGAGCTGGGGCTTTCATGCTCTTGTCAATTTCACCCTTTAAACCCCCTTTTGAACAGAAACGGAGTCCTAGTAAAAGGAAGGCATTATGGAGAAAAAAAAAACCCACTTCAGATTCTCCATTCAGAAAAGAAGCCCCTGTTTTTGTAATGAATATTGATTCGCAGAGTGGTTTTTTTTTTGTTACTCATGTAGGCTGTTTCTTGTAAGCAGGACCAATCTGCGCGTGGGGGAACTTCCCAACGCTGCAGAAGGGGGTAAGGGGATGGGGAGCCCAGCTGACAGCCAGCCCCGGTGGGCTTGTGTGCCTCCCCAGGCGGGGGAGGTGAGCGGTCGTGCCCCAGATGGCCGAGTGACCAATGAGAGCAGTGGCTAAGCCCCCGCAGCCCCCAGAGCACCCTTCCGTCAGCGCGAGCTTGGTTAGCTCTCTTTGCCTCGCAGTGGTTTGTGCTGCAGTATAAGTCACTGTCTCGCCAGCCCTCCTATGCTGGTCCTACACAATCACGTCTGTCCGCCCATCTGACAGTCAGATCAGCTAATCCTCTTACGCTTCAGCGATGTTCAGCACAGATTAGTTTAAGAGATCTAAATCAGATTCCAAATGTGCCACCTTTTTTTTCTTTTGACTGAGATGACAAGGGAGTCTTAAAAAAGGGGGAACTCATTAAGAACCAGGATAAGATTGCAGTGTCCCGACGAGAAAGGGAGAGAAAGCACGGCGAGATCTCCAGTGCACCAGGAGCCCATTGCAATGAAGGCTCTCCTGCTGCTGGTCTTACCCTGGCTTAGTCCCGCAAACTACACAGACAATGTGGGCAACCTGCACTTCCTGTACTCAGAGCTGTGAGTAGCGCACCTACTCTCGATCTGTTTCAGCTTTTTTTTTTCACTACTTGGATTATTAGAATTTTTTGAAAATGTACTTTAATCAAACCATCATTGCAAAAGTTTATTGGTCTCTTAAGCTCTGCAGTTTGGTTGGGAGGAGTGAGACTAGACTAGCAGCCAGGTTGCATGCCTTTGTGTGCACCGCGTGAGAAGCGTTGAGTTTTGATCAGATAGAAATGTAAAGTGTTGCTGCTCTGTGGAGATGCTTGTGTCTTTCGCTGGAGCAGCAGTGCATCTGTCAGAATATTGCAATGGAAGCTGGTTTGTGCATCCTGGCAGGGGAGACATGAGCTACAGTTTGTCAACGTGATGTAATTTAATAATGTGTCAGAAACAAATTGAAGTAAGTGCTCTAAATTCCTTGTTCAGCTGCATGTTTCATGTTTTGTAGAGAGTTGGTAAAACTGCTGCCTTAAAGCTGAGTATCTGTTGTATGACTATTGTTGTTTTTTGTTGTCGGATTCTGAAGCCCCATTCAGTTTCTGTTGTTGTGAATTCCAGATAGGTTTTGAGCTCAATGCGCTTCCTGAAACACCTCCTCCCTTCGGTTTTCTGAATGGATATACACAGCTAGCCTTCAGTTATACAAAATGATGAGATATTAATTACCAAGGATTATTTTTATAAAAAGAACACAGCCTAAGTGGGATTTAAAATTTAAATGAACTGCAGAATAATGCAGTTTGTCCTGAAATCCTGTCTTCATGACATTTACAGTACC